TTTGTACACAGTGTTAACATTTTAAAGCTTGCATGTTCTTGCTAGACATTCTTTCCAAGGATCACTTAAAATAAATACTTCTAAGTTATGTAAATATGCATCAGCACACGTTACACATATCTACTACTATAATAACACATATAGGCCTAAACATGATTTTTAAAAATCTTAAATCCGTAAGTCCAAGGGCAGGGTCTTTCAGATACAGAATGTGATTGTATGGTTTAGTTTGGTTTTTATCGTTTTGCAAGCTCTATAAAGTTTTGTTTTAATACTACAGTACTACTAGTAGTAAACAATAATAATTATGATGACAATGATGATGATGACGATGTATGGTGATAGCCTAATAATATTAAAAAGTGAAGAAAATTGTGCTAAAAACTAGGCGAATAAGTAAATTGTGATTTGTTGATCACAATTATTATAGTATAGTTAAAGCTTAGTAAGCTATTAGGCCTAAGTTGTCTTGGATCCCTGATAAAAGATTATGAGAAATTTGTTTTCATTCTATGGTGATGTAATGATGATGAATTTTACTATAGGCCTATAAAAGTGTCATTTCCGACCATCCGTAATATTTAATCAAATTTTTCGGACCTCAGCCCCAACTATGGTGATTGAGGTGGTTGTGAAATCAGTACGGCTTGAAGTAGGCCTATATAAAGTAGGCTACTCAAAACGGGACTCAAAACAAATGTTTATAAGCTTTATTTTGTATGGTACATCACACATAATAAGATCTCTATCTGGTTGCCGAAAATCGCTGATAAAAGATCATGAGAAATTTGTTGGCTTCATTTTGCCAGCTATTGGGACAGTTGGACAGTCCCACACAATTTGTCTATTGGGTCCACAAAGAATGGGTCTAATTTTCAAAAATAGGTCTAAATTACAGGCTGTCTTAGCACAACTGAAATGAGTCCTGTTCTTGAAAAATGCGTCCAGATTTCTCATATTTTCGCGTACAATTGGTCAACTTTTAAGAAAATTGGTACAGGTTTTTCATATTTTTGAGTAAAATTGGTCCACTTTTAAGAAAATGGGTCCACATTATTTGAATTTACGTGTCACAAAGAGGGTCCACAATGATATTGTTCTGCACTGTTCGAAAATCCTTTATACAGCATTGTATATAACAGTGATGTGATGATCATGAATTTTACAAAAAAAATGTCATTTTCTGGTCATCCAGAGGTACTATTTCCACATTAAACTCCATCGAGTTGACATCTATCTCAGAGTAGGCCTATGTCTTAAGGCCAACTCAGACAGCGTCGGCCGACGCAGCCCGACCCGATTTATCGTCGGGGACAGTCTTAAGCCGTCGTGAGAAATATTAAACATGTTTAATATTCTACTACGCGACTGCCCCCGACGCACACCATCGCGTCTGCGTTCAACTCACACAGACCCGACGCGACAACAAATCGCGTCGGGCTAGCTGCGTCGGCCGACGCTGTCTGAGTTGGCCTTTAGTGACTGCTGATGGGGCGGGAGTGCATAACTTTTTTTTAGGATGTGATCAGGTTTTACATGCCCATTTCCATGACTATGACTATTTTTGATAAAGAATGTTTTGAGCAGTGGTGGATTGAAGCCCACCCCCCTCCACTAAATTTTGTTTACTGGATAAAAGAGAAAAATATAGGCCCCCTATCCAAATTTAAGTCTGAGAGTGTAATTTCCGGGCTTCTAGAGGTGCCATAATCATAAATTTTCTTACCTCAGCCCCAACCATAGTGGGGCTGAGATTGGTGTTCCTTAATCTGTAAAAGTCCCTCCCTGGGTCACCTCTCTGTTGAATTCCTGGATTCACCACTGAAGTTTTATATAATTATTGTTAGGCTTACTAATATTTAATTTATAAAGCGTTGTTTATTGCAATGTTCACTTTATCATCTCAGAACAGCCCTAAAAACTTTCAGAGCGCACTACGTTCCAGGGGGGCTTCTCCCCTTCCCCACAGGGCTTCTCCCCTGCCCCACGGGGTCCTACGTACCTCGAACAACGGCTCCCCCCCCCCCTTCAAAATCCTGGCTACGTCCCAGAGGCCTTAAAGCTGTGGTTCACATTCTGCGGATGCCTAAGAAAAATAATTGGGGGTCCGCCAAGTCCAAAGGGTCCGCAGGTGGTCAAAGAAAAATATGGGGGTTGGCGAAAATTCTAAGCATGGGAGGTGACCAAAGTGACGGCCAGAAAATACAGTGCAAAAGTTAGGAAAAATATATATCAAGAAAAAAGAAGGAAAAAAATCAGAACAAAAACAATGGCATTTCCCAGTACTGCTGGGAAAAGCCAATTAGTGGTGGTATTGTTGGTGGTGCTCGTTTTGGCCATCAGCTGCCAATTCAGATAGCAGGATCATTGCACATGGTTTCAGATACGAGAGTGAAGAGGTCAGTTTATTTTTGTTCATGATTAAAAATGGCCATACAGTATTATCATTTTTAGATATTAATACTGTCGTTCTAAATCCAAAAGGTGTAGCAATTAAAAAAAATCGGGATTCTAAAGATGCATCAAAACTGAAAACCATGTTAAACTTAATGGAGACTGAGAGTCCAGACTGATGAATAGGTGGACTGACCGGCCGACAATGCTAAGCTAAGATAGATGCGAATAGTTGATGCAGAAATTACTGAGGTTGGTGATGTATTGTACTATACGGTGCTGTGTTTCCTTAGGGCGCTTATTCAAGAGGGGCGCTAATTCAAACGGGGCGCATTCGCGCGAGGTACATTACAATTTTGAGTCTGACAGGACAGTGCCATTTCCGGCCATCACGAAGTGCCATGACAAATTCGTGGTGGCGTGTATGAGGAGCGTTTATTCAATTCGTGTCCTTTATTGAAATAAATTCCTTCTCACCCGCTAGTATTCAATTCCTGGATCCACTGTACCGGTATAATGGTAATGGTTGGAGACTTACATAGCGCATAATACATGGTCTCTATGCGCTGGCGTGTGCATTATTATTGTTATTACAACCCAACTAAAAAAGTTTGCGTTACCAGTAGGCCTACTTCATTTCTGTCTCTTATACACATCTAGATGTGTATAATTTTTTACTTTAAACGTTTGAGCATTGTACTGCTGCAACGCTTTGTTAACATTATTTCCTGACATTATTATCATTTTATTATATTATAGATAGCCGGAAATGCAGATATATAGCCGGAAAAAGATTTCAGTTTGCTTGGAAATTATTTTATTTTATTTGCTTTCTAATAATAATGTCTAATAATAACTTTACTCGCCGTGGCGCACGATCATGCAAATATATTTTAAATTATATTTTAAATAATTATATTATAAATATTTTACGCACCTGAAAACTGAAAGGCCATTGTTAAAAAATAATAGCTTCAATAAAGATTATGTTTGAGTTCTGAAGAAACTACTTTCTTTTTATGCTATTTAAAAAAAAACGGAAAAAAAAACAAACAAACAAACGAAAACAAAAACAAACAAAACAAACAAACAAAAACAAAAAACTTCGTTACTAGATTGATTTTTGATAATTATAAGTGCCCATCGTCTTCCAAAAATGCAGATAGCATAGCCGCCCCTCCCCCCCCCCCATATTAATTATCAACGGACAGTAGGCCTATATTTTTCCCCAGAAGGAGCGTCAGTGCTCCTCACTCTGAAGTCCCGTTTTTCCTTATTCTTATTCCATAGCCGCACTTCTTCTTTACAGTTGTCCATCATGCAATGAATATTATCATCTTCTTATCCCATAGGAGTACCTACACTATATACATACAGCTATAATTTGCATAAAGCCATAGAACTCTCCACCAGGACTGCCTTCTAATCCTTATTACGATAATTTGTTGGATGTATCCGGGTTATGTCCCGTGTTTGATTAGGGATTTGCCAACATTTAGGAGGTATAGGCAATACTGATGTTTATGAGTGCTCGATGTCATCGTTGATTCAGATTCCGACCTAACAAGGGTTGCGTGCCCATGAAAGTTATATAATTATAATGATGACGATGAAATTATTATTATCACTATTATTATTATCATTATTATTATTACTATTATTATTATTATTATTATTATTATTATTATTATTATTATTATTACTTTTCACTGGTGTTTATACTTTTATAACTAAGTAGCTGGTAGGATGACGATCATTGGAAGTTGATAACTTTTTAGTTAATTTGGTTAATAATTTAACAAATGAGTGATGTTTTAATTGGTTTTTTTTTTTTTTTTGGGAGGGAGGTTTTTTTTCTTTTTTGTTTTCCTTTTGTCAACCCTGCCCCCATTTTACCAATGTTCACAAGTAAATCAATGGTTAGGGAAACATATAAAAAAAGTCAAAATTATATCAAATTCAAAATTAGGTACAGGTATATTTTAAAAATTTTTTTTTTTTTTGTACCAGTAAACATATTTGCAAGAAATCCTGGGCTTTTCAAGTGAAAAAAGATGGAAAAAGGACAGTTTGAAATAAAAATATGTTAATTGAAAATAATAAATAAATCAGATTTTGCCCAAAAGTGATGAAGGAGCGGGTGATAAACTAATAATTTTTTTATCATAGGGGGCCTAATATATATTAATGTGCATCCGGTGATTCCATGAAGATAATTAAAATTGCTCTAGCGCCACCTATGTTGCAAGATCAGCCAATCGATCCGAAGCTGTAAACATTAGCATTTAACAAACGCCCAGTGAATATCTTATCTTATGGTGGCTGCTCAAAAGCGGTAAACATTTTTGTGGTTGTCTGTTTACCGTAATTCAAATGTAAGTTTATCTTCTTGTGTTAATGTTCATATTTGTGTCATATTAACAACGACTATATTCTATTATTGATTCAAATTACAATAAACAAAATTTGAACAGATCAGACAACACCAATGTGCCTTGTTTGTATCCACAAACAAGCCTTTTAGAAAGGGTACGATACACCCTCTTTGGCCCGTGATGTGTGCATTGCATTTTCAACCTCTCGTAGACAACCAGGTGGTAGAAAACTAGGCCTAGGTCTAAATACGCCGTCAAATAACTACTGTACCTGTCTTTACTTGAGTGTTGTGTCGTGTTTTGACTGCAACCTGCAGCAAACCGTACATGTTTTTTTTTAATGACAAAAATGTTAGTGAGTGTATTGAATGTGGTAATTTTGGGAGCAAGCCACTCGGACTTCCGACTACTCCACTCGATCATGCATGGCTGCTTGGGAATTCCACATCATGCCTTTTCCAAACTTATCCATTTACCAAGTTGGCCAAAACACAAACTCGGTCCTTCTCAATTTGGCCCATGCCAACATATCCCTTTCCGGCTAATTGCAATTATTCAACACACACGATCAAGGCGACGGCAAAGCAATGCACCTGTGGAATACTTGAATGGTCAAGAATGAATTTTTGTTTACGGCAGGAACCAGAGGATCCACTAATTAGTCTTAAATAAAAGTTTACAACAGGGTTTGATGTTTGATAATTATAATTTTTCCGTTCTTATTAAACGTATTAAATTGTGACTCCGAAAAATGACAGACATGAGGCCATAGTGGATGCTACGTTTCATTCTTTAAATTGGAACATTGTCAAGAATGAATAGTCTAAGTCCAAAAGGGTGATAAACTTAACAGAAATCAATACAAGATAAATTTTGACCAATTACAAAAATGTGGGCAGATCATGTTGGAGACAAGATGATATTCTCATAAACAAATTATTACTGTATTGTGGAACAAATAAATGGCAAGTTGACACTTTAAGGTAAATAATGCAAGTTCTTTAGAAGCTCTGAGATCATAGTTTAGACTAGGCTTGTATCTTCTTATTGCTAAGGCTTCAATTATTGCTACTAGTAGTATGTGCTATTTCAATCATTAAATAGATCATGAATCAGTTTGATAATGAGCTAGAAATAAGCATTTGTACTCTTTTTACTCTACTCAATTCATGACCACAACATACAAGCGAGGCTGTTTATTCCACGTGCTCTTTGCATTGATCAAGATGCGACAATCACCCGACTAATGCAAACATTTCTCTATAAACATTTATTTATGATGACGTATGATAGGCCTACTGAACTACGGGAGTATGTGAGATATGTAGCATGGGAACGGGCACTTTTTATAAGCGCCGCTCTCAAATAGACGCCACTCAACAAATAAGCACCGCACTGAAGCCTCCAAAAATGTTATAAGTGCCACGTTGCTTTCAAGCATTTACGGTATTCATTAATTATGTATTTTTGTACTTCTTTGGATTCTGTACAATATAATACCAGTAGGCCTACTTCATTTTCTCCTGTTTTATCCTGCACTGGTGCTGTATTAATATACAATCAGTGTTATTGTGGTTTGCTATGTAGAAAATTCTTTTTTACGCAAAGAGTTCTGATGTATGGAATAGCTAACCTGAAGACATCATTTCGGCTCTGTCCGTAAATGTTTTCAAAAATCGCTTGGATAATTTTTGGAGAGACTATGATATGGGGTCTAAAAGGCTAAAACGTAAAACTTGCCTATTATTATATTTATAATCTAATCTAATCTTAATTTATATTGGCCCTTTGTTTTCATGCAAGTTATTGTAGCTGACTTGCTCTCCAACTTCCAAGAAATCTATTATATATTTGTGGATACAATTTCTCAATTCAATTCAATTAGTCAAAGGTCGTTGAACCATATTGTTCGAGACGCACTGGACACTCTTCCCTCCAAGCAAAGCCATGCATTGCTTTAAAAGTAGCAGACAGGCCCATAGTGAGTTAATATTATTGGAGTCTCATTTTATTGGACAAGTGTCAACTGATGTCAAAGGTTATCATATCCATTGAATTGTCAACTGTTTAAAGACAGGATGCCAGAGACACTTATGGCATTGACTGACACCTTGGTCAGGCATACATTGTCATTGGGCATCAGGGGAATATATAGACAGAACAAAGAATCTATATTTTCACTAAAGTGACAGAATACTATTAATTATTAAATCTTGCAATAAATTACAACACAAATATTAAATTCTAAGGTACACATCATCAAAGCAAACACCATTGCCAGTGTTTGTTTATGGTGTGATATTTGTATTAATAATTAACAAGAGAGGTGTTACTGTATGTAAAGTACTTACTACTGTATATTTATAATTCCTCGTAAAGCCACGGTTTCCTTTGTCCTTTGACCCAGTTAAATAAGTGTCTCTTTCTGTTTACTGTTAATCAACAAAATAGCCACTACCTAAAACAATACAATAGCTTTTTTATATATATATATTTTATTGAAAGAACAAATTATATTAAATCTCGGCATTTATTCCATAATGACATGTGATTAAATTCCCCCCCCCCCCCATAAATCAATTTCAAATTTTCACCTGTCACTTTAGTCAAAATCCCTTTTTTCTTCCAAGAATATTTTAATATTTTTGCAATGGTTTCTTTTTTTTTTCTTCCAGTAATGATCTTGTGTAGCCATTTAACGTAGGAAACTATTTCATTGCACAGTAAGGGGAAACTTTTTTTATTCTTTGTTTTGCGTACTTATTTTTCTAAAGATCATCAGAGTGGGGCAGAATAAATATGAAAATAAAGTTTTATTTTCTTATAGCAAATAGTTTTGCCAAAAACATCCAGACAGGGGAGAAAATAAAAATCAAATTTTATTGGTGAATGTAAAATTGGATAGTTAGATGCTTCACAAATTAGGAAGAAAGATACTTATCTTATCTTTGGAGTTTTCAAGGCAATGGATGGCGTAATAAATATTTAAAAAGACTTCATTTTTTCTGAAATTTCTATTTTTTCATGGCAACGGGTGCGCTAATTGGCCAAAAATAAAATTATATTTTTGTTCGAAATCATCAATAATTGCGTTCAGTGGGTTTACTAAACAAGTTGAAATATTGATTACAGTACTGGGTCAAAAATTGTACATTAAGCCTACTGTACATAGTATTGGTATTCATACAGTAGTATACTTTATAAGTCAATCATGACATCATCACTGCAACTCCCAATGTTATTTGCCTATCTCTCACAGTACAATAATTTTTAAATCAGTGGCTGCTTGCCTTGAATTTTTTAGGTTCGTGTGCAAAAAAAAATTCCTTATTTTTTGCGTCACCGCGAAGATATCGTGCACCGCGATGAAAATTGAATTTAAATTGAAAATTACTTTCGTAAAACAAGGTTAATTAGAACCTGAAGAAAGTGACTTTAAAATCAATATTAAGTGAACAATTAAGCAATTCCTTTAATTAATGAACCCTAATAAACTAAACAAACTTGGAACGTTTAAATAGAAATATTTTAGACCTATTTTAAAGACTAAAGGATCAAAGTTAGAAATGTAGGCTTACGGCCAGGTAGGAGACCACCGAGGCCTCCTCCTAATACAAGCCTAGGCCGTAGCCTAGCGAAGTTATGAAATCATCCCACGATTTTTTCCTGTCTGCACTGACCAAAAAGTTAGTGACAGTGACTATATTCTCTCTCGAATGCCTTAAAAATGTTTATTTCTTTGACGAATGTGAAACATTACAGACAAGGTCTTCTAATTTAATACACAAATTACAAGATAGTTATTCATCGTATCCTTACTCAGTACTGTACTGCTGATGTGTAGTTAACGCATACTGCATTAACACAAATCAGCATACGCACAGCTAAATGTAAATACTCACACACTATACTGATCATATCACTGTAGCAACCGATGACTGCTACAACAGTTGGTTACCAAAACTAACATTAAAAGACAGCGATTGACTTATAAAGTAATTAGTAGAGCTTGCACCGTACATTAGCGCAAAATTATTATACTTACAATAGGATAGATTAAATGCATTCAAAAATTTCTTTCGGGCTTTGCAGCCCTCAGGAAATTTTTTTAAGCATTAAAAAACCTTTGTATTATAATTTTCCTATAATGTACTATGCGAAGCTCTACTAATTAATTAGTATGAAGTGTGCAATAAAGATCATGATTTCATCACTGCTACTTCCAATGTTATTTTCCTCTTCCAACTGTGCACTAATTTTTCATTAGTGAATGATTTGCTTGATTATAAATTTAGGTTCGTGTACAAGAGGCCAATTCATGGTTAATGCATTCCAAAAAAAAATTTCTTTGGGCCTTGCAGGCCTTCAGGAATTTTTTTTTTCTTGCATTACTGTGTAATCAAACCTTTGTATAATAATTTCCATGCAACTATTCTAATTTAGATTAAAACAATATTTATCACTGGAGTACCAATTTCTTTCTAGTGAGTGGAATTTTTTTTTTCTGACTACTGTATACTGTAGTGTATTGCAGTAGAAATAATAATTTAAAAAAAGCATGTTAGACGAAGCAGTTCCTCATTATCTATCTTTAGGCTAATTATGTCAAATTTTTCTGCACATTGGCTTGTTGCCATGTTCAGTCAAGGGCTGCGAGCATGTTCAAGTAGCCTTTTCAGGAAGACATACAGTCAGCACTTCATGCTGGCAATGTAATCCAGTTATTCACCATTAGTGGACAGTGAGATAAGACAAAAATGTTCATCTTTAAAGCCAGGGAAAGAGCTTTTCTGATAAGTTGTACAACGACTCAAAAAAAAACAAAAAAAAAAACTTTTAAACAATTAACCAGAATGATTTTAAATATTTAAAAACCTTTTCCCCAGTTTTTAAGTATTGATTAAACCTTTCCCGTAGTTTTTAAATATTCAAAAATATGTCTCATTAACCAACTGTGTTTTCGGCTTTGTCAAACCTCCCCAATATGTCTTTAAACACAGTAATGCACAGTACAACAT